ACCAAATGTGAAATTCTAAGTGTGGGGTGGCTATTTCAAAAGTCTATACCCAAATAAACCATTATAGTAAAAATAATGCATTGATGTTTAAGAAACAGAAGCTCAAAAAGCATCAGAATTGGCAATTCAGTTAAGCTTAACAAACACATGTGGAATACCGACCCTCACGCTACTCTCGACCGTGGGCCCTGAGGTCAAAGGTGCCTGTGAACCCAGCCTCTGGCCTGCACTTTGCGGGTCACTGGACTGGTTTAAAACTATCGGCACCCAGCTTTCTAAGCACATAGGTCTCACTTGAATACATATTTCCATGGGAGATTAATTAGACATGTATTAACAAGTCTAGAGATTACCCTAGTGTAAGATTTTCTTTTCTACAAAGTTTTTAAAAAGTGGAATAGAGGACAGGCACTGAACAAAGAGAGAGGAGGGCTCGAGGAAGGAAGAAGCGGCGATTTTCCAGGCTTCTCTCCTGTACCCACAACTAGGCTGAGGGTATCCGTTGTCCCCAGTTTCAGGGCAGGGCCCCAGTTTTCGGTAAAGCTCTGATTGTAACACTGGGTGGTACTTTACTCCAAAGCCAGCCAGTGGCAGAACGAGGTGGAGGGGCAGGGCAAGGAGGCAAAGGCCCGACTCCCGGATAGTGCGAATGTCCAAGGAGTGAGAGCAGGGCACGGGGCCCCACTCAGTGTGTCCTGGGATCGTCCCTTACGATGAAGAACAGTTGTTAGTCTGCAGGTGCGTCAGCTCTGCCACTCAGGAGCTGGCCTGAATTAAACCTGGAACTGGTGCTTCTGCAGCGCAACCCAGCAACATGAGTGCCAAGGACTGGGTGGTCTAGAAAACACCTGCTGGTCTTGCTAACATGGGAAGGGCAGCCACTACAGATATGTCTCCCACATTCTGAGACAGCATGCACTTCAGGTGACACAGCCTCATCAAACGTCAGCTAGCTCCTCTGTGTGGCTCCGGGGCTGTCAGGGAGGGAAAGCAGGGAGTAAGTAGGACCAAGAAAGGGACAGAGACAGGTGCCTGGGAGATGTTCATCCCAGGGCTCCTTGGAGCTGGCTCCCCTTTTACTCGGTGAACGAGCCCGAATCTTGTTGTCAAATGGCACTGGAACAAGAAGGTACCCATCCAAACACAGTTAATTTAATTTATTTGTAAAAATAAACCATAGATCTATATGGAAAAATAAAAACAATATTCCAGAAGCAGCAGAGAGAGTGCAGGAGGCAGAGCTGAGGCTCCGGCTCTGGGGTCAGGCAGCATAGCACCAAACACAGACCTGGACTCCCTTCCAGGCAAATGACTAACAGACGAGCCTCCTGCAGAGGTGAGCAAAAGTTCTCGGTGTGGTCTGTGCTCAGTGCATGCGGGCAGTTTTCACTGATGTGCTGTGCAGCACTGCAGAGAAGGCAACTGACACCCAATCCATGTGCACAGCCAGCCAGCATCATGCAAAGGCTGTGAGCTGATACGATGGCAAGGTGACTGAAGACAACAAAAAAATATCGCACAAAACAAAAGTAGATTTAACTTCACTTCTTCAGTAACAATACTTGCTTGCAGACGCAGGGCCATTTTAAGTTGACTTTGCTACTCACAGTTGGCTTCTTGCCTTCCCGAGTGTGGTCAGGCTCCTCAGCCTACACCCTCGGCGTCAGCCAAATTAACCCATCTGCACAATTTCTAAGGTGCATTTTGGCAAAAAAAAACTTCACCTAAATCCAACAAACTTTTAGATCTGACTTCTCATTTGAGGTAGACAGAGGAACTCGAAGTACAAGTTCAATGATACAATAAGGAAGGAAACAAAATGTCCAGAACATGGGACATTCTGCAGGACAGCTGACGGGGTCTTTGTTAAGTCTACTGTCAAAGATTCCCTAGATGCCAGATTAATGGAGATTCGAGGGACATAGCAGTCAGATGATCCTTATAGATGATCCTCATGTGTCACATAGCAGCCTGTGACACATGATCCTTATTTGGGCAATTTCAGGGGACATTATAGGACAGTTGGAGGAACTGGAAAGTAGAGAACAAGGTGAAGATAAGATAAAGATTTATGGACAGAAAAGGGAGTTAGTGTTAACTTTAAAAACATTATGAATAGCAAATTAGCATGCTCATTTGCTAAAAGTACAGGCACATACATGCACATTCACAAATCTGGAACAATAAATAGTAAGGAATTAACAGTCCTAATTTTTGGAAGGTCAGTATACAAGGTCTCTTGTTTGCTTATCTGTATTTTTTCTAAGGTGTACATATGTTGATTTTGTAAAAATAGATTATTTTTAATGTAAAAAAGATCTGATTCTAAAGCAATAAGGAGGTACAAGGCAGGTCTGATAACGGCCTTGTGTCTTCCTGGTGGTGATGCCACCGTCATCTGGCTATGGAATTGGGTGTGGAAAACACACATGCTCACTGGGGTGGGTCCAGGGGAAAGAGGAAACATTTTATTATTTTTTTCTTTTAAAAAAGATTTTATTTATTTTTAGAGAGGGGAAGGGAAGGAGAAAGAGAGGGAGAGAAACATCAATGTGTGGTTGCCTCTCACACGCCCCCTACTGGTGACCTGGCCCACAACCCAGGCATGTGCCCTGACTGGGAATCAAACCAGCGACCCTTTGGTTCACAGGCAGGCACCCACCCCAGCCAGGGCTAACGCTTTATAATAATGTAGTTAAATCTGTCCACCATGTACTTAGTGCACACGTGCCCCCGGCTGGGATTCTCCACAGGAGGTCCACAACTCCCAGAAGAGCCATAGACCCTGAGGTCAGCATTTGAAGTTTGTGCCAGAATTTTAAGGACTCTGTCCCAAGAAGGTTAAGAACCATTGCCCTGAATATTAACTATGTTGCTTTTTATTTTTATTTTTTAGAAAAGATTTTATTTATTCATTTTTAGAGAGCAGGAAAGGGAGGGAGAAAGTGAGGGAGAAAAACATCCATGTGTGAGAGAAACATCAATCGGTTGCCTCTTACACGTCCCCAACTGGGGACCTGGCCTGCAACCCAGGCATGTGCCCTGTCTGGAGATTGAACTGGTGACCTTTTGGTTTGCAGGCTGGCACTCAATCCACTAAGCCACACCAGCCAGGACCTGTGTTGCTGTTTAATAGTAACTTTTGAAAATGTTCTTTCAATGCCAAAAGATCTGGGAGAAGGATGAGGAAAGCGGTTAGACCCTGTACCTCCTGTGACTCCTCCGCTCTCCCGGGTTAAGCTGTCGCTTTCCCCAGCTCCTAGTGGCACCAGGACGGCAGAATATACAGGATCTCAAATTCAGAATGACGAGTGTCTCCATGGTCCCTAGAGCCCACAGACCCCGCTCCCAGCTGGGCCACACAGAGGTTAACAGTACTTCAAGTCCCAACCCCAAAACACACTGGAATTTTTCCCCTGCTTCATCTCGGTCCTCAGATCAAAGTGAGCTGGAGAGGCCTGATTTGATGGGTTATATTAACTACCTGGGGAGCAAAATGCCAGAAATTCGGGAAAGTACATGGGAGGAACAAGCAAATTCAGAGATGAGTGAGGGAAAGGACTCTTGCTTATTTTCGGAAGTTTCAGTTCAGAGGATTAAATTTTGAGCAGCAGGCTGCACCCTCTGAAATGCCAGGAATTCAGTAAACAAACGAGTGTCATGTATCTCTGATTAAAAATGGATTCCACGGGACCCTGAACAACAGGGAGAGGAAGTCTGGGCTGCTGTCTGGAATGAATGGTTGTTTTATTAAAAACAACGTTGGACAGACTCCTAGCAATAGTAAGTCTTCTAGAGCACAGCCCATTACGCTAAAAAAAAAAAGTCACAGGGGGATTGAACTTCCACTCGCCTACAAATCCGGTTCAAAGATCAGCCCCTTGCTTGGAGGCGAGTGCTTGCAGCTTAGCTTCAGATGCAAGAAGTGCCCTCTCTGGGCGGGACAGGTTGGGCAGCATGCCTGGAAAGGGCAGGCTGTGTGTGTGTCAGGAGGGGCGTATCCTGTTTCGGGGAAAGCCCAGGTTTGGGGAGGGTTAAGTCAGGACAGGAAGCTCAGCATTTGATTAGAACATGCCGCCCACACTAATTTGACTTCAGAAGTGTTTTAACAAGCCAGCCAGTTGTACTTACTGGATATACATTTACTTCGACATTCCTTAAAGTTAGGTGTGTTTTACAATTTGTTCCACACTATTCCTACAGGAACTTTCTTTAATGCGATGCCTAGGAACTGTCTTTCCCTTCCACCTGATTGCCTAGTTGTATGGAGTCCTGGGGAATGGAAAATACTGCAGTTGTCATATTCTTAAAATACTTGGAGGAAGTAAGGCAAGAAATAGCGGGGAGCATTTTCAAATGCCCAGCAAGAATGGTAGGGCAGGTAGAAGTGGTAAAAGGGCATTTTGCCAAATATAAAATAAATAACAGAAAACCAGAAAAAAATAGAGTTTCTCCTGGTCAAGCTGGAAAAGAGGCAAGACATCACAGAATTTATGTGTTTGTAGATGGTGGGTATGAGAGAGTCTTAACTATGATTGTGTAAACTTGAGCATTGAAAGCACTGAGTATTAGATTAAGAGCAAGTGACAAAAGCTTTCAAAAAACCAGCTATCACATGTTTGGAGAGCTACTTGTGATCTTCTGATGGTTTAAGTTCAAATACAGTATAGCTCCTTTGCTGGGTCACCTTGATGCTGACCAGGAGGCAGGAAATCAACCCAGGAAGGAGTTCAGGGACTCAGCTGGCATTTCAGCACCACTGGTCTCCCAGGCCCCAAACAAAACGAGCACGAGTTTCCCTCACAGGACTCTGGGTAAATAACCAATGGGCTGTGACGGTGGCCGGGCTGGTTCCTTGTTCTCTCAGAAGGCCTAACAGGAAGACCTGTCCAGATTCTTTGCTATAATCTGCGTTGCCTCCTTGCAATTTACACAGAGCTCCAAAGACCCCAGGGGACGTTTCTGTGGTGACACTTCAGATGTTCAAGCCCCATACATACCTCATCTCCGTGCATATTTGCCACGTATTTGAACTCTGGGATCCCAATTCTGTGTTCCTTTGGGGAGCGACCCACAACAAGAACCCACAGGTTTCTGCCTTTATAGGGAAGAAAAAGATCGAAAAGTAAGTTGTCTTTTGAAAGGACAAATGAACTCTGGGACAGTGACCAAAGGGAGCAGACGATGCTGCTTCTCCCACCTGACCACTGTTTTGTGACGCCTGACATCCGTGACTGACAGCTCAGCGCTCAAAGTGCTCCTAGCTCACTGCCAGCCCAAACCCTGGCGATTTAGCACAAATATTTAACTTACTATATTAAGATGTGATTTTTAAGACCTGAAGACTTATGAGGCTACATGGATCTGATTTTTCCAAAATTCTTGTATACTTTGCCCTGAGTTTCTCATGCTTTATAGAAATGATCTTGCTAATCCACACAATTACAGAAACTTAAATTGCAGTTGGTGGTTGACTGGGAGGGTGCCATGACTCTCAGGACAAGGAAAGGGGGAGAAGCAACAGCCACGACACAGGTAACTCAGAAGGGAGCTTGTCCTTCTGGCGAGAAATCCTGGATCTTGTCTGCAGATGCTGATGGGACACAGCTTTTTTGCAGTGAGTGTCCTTGATGTGCCAGAGTTGTATAAAGTGAACTGGGAACCACAGCGCATCCTAACAACACCTCCAGGAAAACACTAGGTCCTAACTCTGTCACAGATGGTGCGATGTGGGCAAGGAAGGGCAGAGACTCTAGATCGTTGAGGATTTGCTCTGTGTGTTCATTACAGCTGGGACCCTGGTTCACATCGTCTCAGGTAATCCCTTCTTAACTCACCAAGATGGATTTTTAACTAGTCTTCACAAATGAAACAGCTGATCTTCAAAAATTATTAGGTAAACTGCTTGTGATCACAAAGCCAGCCAGTAAGAGGCTGTGATTGGAGCCCCGGAGCCAAGACCTGAATCCTAACTATTTGATTTCAGTTCCAGCACTCCTTCCACTAAAAGCTGCCCATCCCTCAAGTGTCTGGTTTCCTAATCAGGAAAACGAAGGGGTCCCTTTCTATTCTATCACCGTCTGGCTCTTTGAACTCTTTGAATGCAAACATTTAAAAATTAGAGACTGGGGATTGTATGTTTGATATCTATCACATGTATACCAAGTTCAAATATCGGTGATGTCTAAGCCTTCTGTGGAATTCAAGAGCCCAGAAAGGAATGTAACAGCAGCTAATGGGCTAATGTAGAGCAGGCTTCTGCAGAATTTCAGATCCAGGTCCATAAATCAAGGGTCCTACGGCCTGAGAACACCCAGTTGCCATAAGGAATCCAGTAAGAAGCAGATACTGGACTTATCTTTTTCACCATTTATTCTTATTGTAACAATAGGATGATGGCTTTAGATTTAGTAACTACAGGAATTCTCAGAAAATGACCCCAGATGCAGTTTATCTGACCGATGCCTCCTGTTCAGTGCAGGACACCCATACATCCACTTATTTAGAACTACTTCACCTGGGCATCGAACCAGGCGATTAGGCTGCGCAGGTAAGTCCTCTCTGCCCAGTGAGTTTCTGATATAGTGGAGAAGAGCAACATGCAAACATGTAATCACACTAGATGGTGACGTATGACCCCAGGACTGTGTGTCAGGCACTGTGGGAGCAGAATACGATGAATGGTTAACCTGTTCCAAGGATGGGGATCATGTAAACATTGACGGGTATAGGGTTTTAGATCTGATGTCTGAATGGGGTTCAGAAGAATGAGTTTGCCATGTGGACCAGCACAATCCACCTGACAGAACCATTTCATTAACCAGAACCTTCCATTCCCTCACTGTGCCAATTCTCAGGTCATTCGGAGTTAATTGTACAAAATTAACATTTTCATGTGAAGCAAGGAAGTGCTTTTTCCGAGGACAAGCTATCAAACCTGGCTCTTTAAGTTTCCTTCCAGGGAATTCTTTTAGGTGGCTATTCATGCTTTTAAAGCTAAAATAATCGCAGATTTGTACAGAATATGGTCTAGTCCCCTCATGGGCAAGGGGAAAAATCCAATATCCAATATCTCAACATAATATTTACCAATTGTTATATTTATAACTCTACATCTGCAATGCTGACCTGACAAATAAAGGAGAGTGTAAGACAACAAAAATCTGACTTGACGTGGAGAGCCAATATTACTGGGTTTAAGGAAGGAGAGAAACCAAACCAGTAAAAAAAAAAAAAAGTACCTTGATGAGAAACTCAACTTCAATTTTAGCACAAATGGCCTGGAAGTGAACTGCAAGATGAGAAACTCACCTTGAATAAACCTCAATGGCACAGTCTAAGACAGAAACCAAGCAATAAATCCAAAAGATACTCACACAGTGCTTTAGGAAGGACAAGCCTCTCGAAGGGTTTTAAGCACCCTCTCCCACAAACACTGGCTGTCTCCGGTTTCGACCAGGGTTAATATACAAAGGATAAATGTTTACTTTTCACAGCCTGATTGCCAAGATAGGGTAATTTAAACAAGATTTTTTTTCTATCAGGGTTGGAAAGGTTACCTTTATTCCCCCCAAGTTCTTCCTAATACCAGGTGTGCTTAAGAGTTATGAATTGCTTGGTTTCTTTCCCCTCATCACAAAGTAAACAAAACTTGGATTCCAAATGTTTTAGTATCTGTGTTCAGGAACTCACTAGGGGCTTGACAAAATCCCAGTGATGTGATGGGGGTGCCCAGCTGCGTTTGTCTGGAGGACTGAGGAGAGCCTTACAATTCAGAAGGCTGCACAAAGACAAGGAAACAGGCAATAAGTGCCACAAACTTCTACAGGAGTTCTGAAGAAAGTAGGAGAAACTTAGAAATTGAGGTACAAGGTCTTCCCAGATAGTATCCAGCCATGTACTATGAAAAACAGAGACATTTATTGAAGGAGATACAAGATACAAGAAACATTGTACATAGGACAACGACGCCTCGGTCCCCTTCAAAGTAGGCACCTTGGGACCTCACACAGTTCTCCCAATCGACATCAGCTGCCCCATTGTATTTTCCTGAACCTCATCAATGGTCTGAAATCTCTTCCCTTTCAAAGGTGATTTTAGTTTTGGGAACAGCCAGAAGTTGTAGGGCACCAAATCTGGGCTGTAGGGCAGATGAGTCACCTGGGTGATTTGATGTTTTGCCAAAAAAACTCCACATAAGACATGATGCATGAGTAGGCACGTTGTCATGATGAAGCTGCCAATCACTAGTTGCCCATAGCTGCAGCCTTCTGAATCATCCGAATAGTTTCCACAGAGGAATGTTCCAGCCTAATGCAAAATTTGATGCAGATTTGATGCTCTACTCATTCAGTCATTTTTAATGTGACGGTCACACAGTACACACGCTCAATGGCATCTACTGCCCCCACTGACTAGTACAGCGAAGTCTTCATTGTTCACACATGTGCATTCTAGTCCACTCTCTTTGGTTGCCAGGTTATATCGATGTCCCGCAAACCATTCTCATTGTATTAACGATGGTTGGACTCACCCTGGACGTGCCTCATACAGCTTCCACAGGCAGAAATGGGTGGAGTGTCATCCCCATATCAGAATCTCCTGGATGCTTGTGAAAAGGCCGACCCCCGAGCCCTGCCTCCTAAACCCAGCTCTAAGCGGGAAGCCTGAAGCCTGCATTTATCAGGCTCCCTTGTCAATTCTGAGGCCCATTCAAGTTTGAAAGCTGCTGAGACCGAGGCAGGGAACGTCCAGATAGATTTGGGAGGGAGTGAATCTTTAGGTAAAATCATCTCATTTTACACATAATTGTGAGCATGTCTCTATGTTAACAGATATAATTCTACTGTATCTTTTAAAATGGGGGCTTAATATTTTATACATGTACTGCCGTTCACACAACCAACACTCTGCTGGTAGGTGTCCAGCAATACATAATTTTGTGTAAATTTCAGCATGTCCACTGAACCTGTGTACAGAATTTGTAACGTAAAAACCTTTTATCATGTGAAAGAAATTGGAATGAAACATTCTATAGAACTACACCCATGTAGAACAGGTTTTACATTAAAAAATACCGTGGAAGTAAATGGCTCCATAGCATATAAAGCCTTAAATTAAATAATGGTTGAGCCCCTTAAAAGAATTATTTAAAAAATTGTGTTTTAAAATAAACCAGATAAGTTATGCTCAAAAAAAGAAAAACATTGACAATGGCACACTGTCAGTGATAAGGGGCAAAGTGGCAGGGTGATAAAACCAAGTACATTTTTTTCACTTTTCCATATTGCCACTGTTTAAAAAAAAAAGAACCCAAATACTATCATTCATTAAGTCCAGATACTACACGCCAAGCACTATGCTAAACACTTCACAACGCTTCTGTGTGTGGTGGGTGAGAGCCACAATTCATTGTTGAAGAAACTGATTTAAGTGGCAGAACTAGGGTTCAGCCGCAGGTCTATCTGATTCCAAAATCTGTGCTCTTCTGGATATTCCAGGCTGCCTCAGTTTCCCTGAAGGTGCTAGGTAGGCCAGAGCCAACCACACTCGGGAGGGAATGTTCCCAAGCAATTCTTTCTGTAACAAGCGGCTATGGTTTGCACCTGGAGCAAGATGCAGCTGCTCCCTGGCTACAGCCGACTGAGCCAGGACAAGACGCCGGCATGGAGGCCTACCCTACAGGGACATCCCATGGAGGTGTTGATGTAACAATGCTGTCAGACTATCACTGATCTGGGAGTTTCCATGGGACAGGCCCAGAGAGCGGCAGCGACCCTGCCTGGGTGGCCCGGTCACTGAGGCAGAGCTGCAGAGATGATGAAGCGCATTCCAGTTTTTCGTGAGGCTTGTTGTATGTGCGTCTGATCCTCGAGGTTCTGCTGTCCAGAGTGAGGGGTCGGCGGCTGGTTTCCCAAACTTGCACATTTCTGGGTGCCCTCACCCTTACCCTTCGGCCTAACTCAAAGCCTTAGAGGGCTTGCCCAGTGCACTGAGTTCCAGTGTCCTTGCACACAGGTGTGAACAACAGCCCTGTTGGCAAGGCTGGTGTAAGGCTGGTGAGTTCCTTCCAAGAATGAGCTAAAGATCTGATACTGA